GCCACCACTCGCTGGTGGAGACTGCAAATTTTTGTCCTATACTTTGGCACTTATCGTCATTGAGCAGTGAGGAATCTTTTTTGTGCCAGCACCTTCTGCGTCACGGGACCTCGATTTATACAATCTCATCCAAAGGACCGGTCTCCAGGTCCAACAATCGAAGTTCATAATACCGAGATATCTTATTCTTTTTAATTTTATTTTATTTTTTCACAAGTTTGTTGCATCATATTTACCTAAAGATCATACTTCAAGATCATTTCGAACTCAGGCTACTTTATTGCAGTGCATACAGCATCAGGTGATTTTGATTGACAGGTCAACACACGTGCACTTCGTGTGATACTTTTTAAGCAGAAAAATATACAGGATGTGACCATGCCTGACTATGAAATCAGAAAACATTTAATAAAGAATGGGTGTGATTGATATAGAACTAATTTTTGGTCTTTGTAAATGGATAGGAGGATCGGGATTAAGAGGGAATCTCTATCTCTCTCTATCTTCCTCTCTCTCAGACGTAAATTGAACATTTCAGTATCATAATGACAAATCTACCATTATAGAATATGAAATTCTGTATACATGTAAATGGTAATTATAACCATATGTTCCAGATATAAATCTCAAATGAATATATAATTTAAATGTGCCTAGCTGCACGAACATCCCCAAACATTAATCAAGACAGAGGGGGCTTCAAAGGAATTAGATTGTTTTATAAATTATAAGGAAAAGTACGGACATCAGTTGCATGTACATAATTATATATCATTGCATAAAATTGTGTTCATTCAGGTGTACTTATCCCACATATCAACAGTCCTGTGCAATTTTTTTTATCATGTTTTTTTTTCAAAAGAAACATATAGCCTAGCATTACTTCACACAGAATCGTGCTTTCACATATTTTTTTTAACTCTGGAGTATTTCACAAGAATCCAAGAATCACCTTTTCACATCTTTTATAACTCCTTGGGTATATAGAGTATAGATCATATGTCATAAATAATTTAACTTTTTATCAAATATACATGTAATAACCAAATCTAATCTATAGACTGATTTTCTTTCTTTTAAGTGGCAGATGTTAATTTACAGCTAAACTTCGAAATCTCGAACACAGATATTTCGAATACCTATAATCTATAATAAATATATAATTTAATACCTATAATCTATAATAAATATATAATTCAAATGCCTATTTGCAGGAACTTCTCCATAATAAATCAAGACGCGAGGGGGGGGGGGAGGGGGTTTCAAAGGAAGTAGATAGTTTTATGAATTATAAGGAAAATCAGGGATGTCAGTTGCATGTACAGGTATATCACTGCATAAAAATTGTGCAGGTATACTTATCTCACATATCAACAGACCTGTGCAATTTTTTTATCACTGTAATAATTCTTTTTTCAGAGGGAACATCTAGCAGAACATTATTTCACACTGAATTGCCTTTTCACGTAATATTTTAATAACTTTTTGAATATTTCACAAGAATTGCCTTTTCACATAATAATTTATTTACTGCTTGAGTATATTGAGTATCTTGTGTTGTAAATAATTTAACGACTTTTTATCAAATAAAATAACTAAATCTAATCTATAGATTAATTTTTCTTTTTTTAAGTGGGAGATTTCAATTTATTTCTAAAGGCTTTTAAAACAGTATTATGATTTTCTATCGCTCAATTCCATTTTAGTGTATGTAGTATTTTTTTATCGAAAATGAAACTTGGAAATTGGGATATTTGGAATTCAAATCGTAAAGTGTATTTAGAGAATAAAAATTGTCTGAATTAATATAGAATGCTTCGTAACAGTCTTATTCTGAACTATATGAGATAAAATTGCATGCCATCACTATAAATGTATACTGTTTATGATATATTTACTTGAATGTGCTAGCTGGCATATAGGGGAAAGTGTTGATATTTCGGACACTTCAATATGCGTTTTCGGATATACTTGGCATTTACTACTTAATATAGGCATGTGATACACCGATTGATGCAGGGAAACCTCTGCTACTCATTTTCATGGTCCATCGGGTTTTTTTTTTGTGAAATTAATCATGTGTATAACATTTAACAATTTTAAAACAATGCCTGTGATATAAACAAATTGAAATAGTGCTATTAGTGGAATGTTTAGCATATACACCTGTCGTGACAAGATGTACGAATATGATTCATCGCGAAAAGTGGCAAAAAATATTTTCACTCCAGTGGGAGCTCTGACGTGTAAACATGTTAAAACAGTGCCAGGAAGTGAGGTTGTAACTTTGGACAATGGTGTTTTTACTTGGGACACACTGTGTTACAACTTCGGACAGTGGGTAAATAAGGAATTGTTTTGCTGCTCTGCTACACTGATTACATGATGGTCGTGCTAATTACAACAGGGAACTTCAACTTTTGTTGGGACATACTTAAATTAAAATCTTTGTTTTCATAAAATAGAAACATGTTAGTGCACAAGTGTATATTTTGTAGCAAAAAAGATATTTTTTATAGGACAAATGTATATGTATAATCATAAGTCACGGTACATTCACCAGTTTTTTTTTTTATACTCCAAGTGCAACTTTGGGAGGGGAGGGGGCATTTTTTCTTCTTTGGAATTGTAATATGAAATATAATGCAGTACCTGGGCAGCACAGTGTAAATGAACATCTAAATAGCATGACATTGTTTAAGTTTATATTTTTAAAGTTAAATTTATAGGGACGAAATGAAAATACAATAGTCTCTGAATGAGTCAGGAATGGGATAAAGAGGGTACCTCATTATTTTTTTAATTAAATGACATGAACTTTGTAAATATAAGGCTTTGTGTGTAAATATGTTTGTAAATATAAGGCTTTTATGAACACCTGTAACAGGTATGAAATATAGGACAAATCTTTAAAAATCTTCTTCTCAAGAACAGCAAAGCCATAATTGGTCATATTTATATGGAAGCATCTTTAGGTTGTGTACTTCCAATTTTGTCAAATCATGACCCCCGGGGATAGGGTGGGGTCACAATGAAAGTTCAAACTTGTAGACAAAAAAAAAAGCCACAGTTAGTCAAAGAAATAAGTATCCTTAGTTAGTTTAGATTCATTTTTTTCAGATCATGACCCCCCCCCCCCCCTTTCCCCTGTTTTAGGGGTAGGTCGGGACCACTTATGCATTTAAGCTTTTCAATACTGAACCGATTTTTGCTTTTTTCCTAGCCACAGTGTCAAAGTTAAATGTCTTCATGACTATATAAAAAATCGACAATTTGTGAGTGTGTATTAGGGAGGGTGTGTTAGGGAGGGTGTGTGTGCGTGTGTGTGTGTGTTTTTTTTATTTGTAGAAACTAAATTGTTAGCAAGTCAATTTATTATTAAAAAAATTATAGCTATATCTTATGTTAAATATATCAGGAAAAAAAATTATAATCAAGATAAATAAAATACAAATCGTATTGAGTCTTTGGTCCTAAGTCCATGTAGAACATAAAACTAAGAAGAGTTGCCCTCCTTTTCTCTTTAGTATATATATAAATACTGTATGATATTTATTATTACAGGGAAACATGGACTTAGATATTGTGGCTGCAGCGATCCCAGCTTTTGCCTCAAGTCCCTCCGATATTCTGTTTATAAAAGAATTACTATTGATACTGATGTTGATCACAAAGCCCCCACCAGATCCATTGGTGGATGCGCGACATCGGTTAGGTAATGGAGAAACAGGTGTATGGCAAGGAACAGATTTTTTTTGCACGTTCTCTGATTACTCATATGGATTTTTTGAAATCACAGGAGAAAGTATTGAAACATTTTTAGATCTAATGCAAAAAAATTACTAATGTTTTAGGTGCAAACATGAATGGACATAGTTTATCACCAAGAAACCATACATTATTATTTATGATATGGTTGAAATGTTATCCATTGTACTATTTCTTTTCTCAACTCTTTGATGTGATCATAACAACAATTCATGATGAAATCAATCAGTTAATGCATGTATTCCATGTTGTGGCAAAATCCTTTATCACATGGCCTTCTGTTGATGAATGGCAGTATATGCTGTTTGTGTGGCCAAACTTACCATATGCAATCAGTGCAATCGACAGTACCTCAGTTGAGATATATTGCCCAAGAACTGAGCCACAATGATTGTATTATTCCGGTCATAGGAAATATCATGCATTACATGCACAGGTTATAATTGACAACTCAGGGTTGATACGCCACATAGAAAGCGGCTTCCTTGGTCATCAAAATGATGCTCAACAATATTCTTTAACATCTCATAAAATCAGAGAAGAGTTCCCTTTCCCAGTAGATTGTTTTATTTTAGGGGACAAAATATATCCTAACAGGTATCCAATTATAACTCCAATTATTCCCATCACCAAATAATAAACAGGGATCCTCAAGAGCAAAGAAAACGACGGAAATTTAATAGACTTGTGTCGCTGTATAGGTCCCTGATAGAACACTCGATCGGTAAATTAAAGAAATACAAAATTCTGAGAGGTATTTGGCATCATCCGAGGAAGAAATTATCCCTTGTGATAGACATTGTTACAGGACTTGTCTGTATACTACACAATTTTTGATTTATTCACATTACTTATTACATGTACAACAAAGTATTGCAGATACTTGTACAATACAGTGTACCTACAACTTTTTGCATAATCAAGATATATATATATATAGATACATTTTAATTAGTACTCATTTACACAAATTACACTTATAATTATGATGATTCTAAATATTTTTTTCCATGTTTAAATTGTGTCAAATGCATGAAAAAAAATAATGCTATATGAACGAAAGACTGCTTTAAGCTTATGTATTTCTATATGTTCCCCGAAAGCAGTCTTTTGTTCATAGTCCGCAGTCCGTAGTACGGTGTCAAGTGTATCGGATTCTGAAAATGTTTAATAATAAACACTACAATCACTATAAGGACTTCTTTTGGGGAACATAATTATGAAATGCTTACCTTCATCTGCAAAATTAAATCATCCACTGGTCTCCTTGTTATTTCAGCAGGGGAAAACATCACAAAGTCTTCATTAAACACAGCTGAAGAATACAATCTGTCAAAAGGCAAGACTTCAAAACAATTAGATTGTAGATAAAAATTATCAAAAAAGTTAATATTATGACCTTAAAAAAAATTAAAACTTCCACAAATCATTGTTCTATTTCAATGCATATCCTGTACATTAATTATATCTTAATTTAAAGTGACACTGTGATGGACAAACAGGAAAATAGACAACAGTAGAATTTTTGCATGACACAGGCAAGTTTTGTTCAGTTCTTGAAGATATTAGGTTTCAGAAAATTACAGGTTTCAGAACCTAAAAAATCTAATTTAATGGAGAAAAATAAAAGTAAGAAAAATCTTTGTATAACCCATCACAAAAATATTGCTTCTCTTCTTCCTCTTTATTGTACACATGACTGAAAAGTTGAAGAATTTACCATGGTTTCAATTCCAATAAAAAAAAAACTCCAAACAAATCAAAACAAAACAATATTTGCTAATAATTCATTCAGCACAAAGGATGTAAGGCTATCTTGCAATATACATGTATTGTAAAATCGCTAAATTAACTTCTCACTAAAATTACATATTGATTTTTAGGGTTTAATTACGAAAGGGGGATTTTTCGATAAGGCCGTTTTTTGGTCCCTCACGAAATATTATGAAATTTTGATATTTGTCGAAAAACTCCTTATCTTCTGTCAAAGAAGGAAGACAAGTATGGTAGACCACGTAAACTTCACAATGGCCTGGAAATCTGCAACAACTTTAATGCAGGAAAATGCAGCTGGAATAATTCTCATGTATGCAACATCTGCAAGGCAAGTGATCACCAAGGCCATTTGTGCGAGGAAAGCATGAAAAAAAGCAAATGACTAGACAACAAAAAACCAGATGCCCTCCCACTTTCTGCTTCCACTCCAGTTGATATTGATCAGCTAGAAATTAAAAATAAGACTGCATCCAGATCTTACTTTTGTTGAATATCTTTGTAATGGCCTGCACTACGGTTTTGATACCATGATCAATAACACGGACATGCCAAGTAAAGAATGCCAGAACCTCCATTCCGCTTCTTCAAATGCCCAAATTGTGGATGATCTTTTCAGCAAAGATGTGGAAAAGGATTATCTACAAGGACCACCTGATGTAACACCCCCCCCCCCTCCAAAATACATAGTTAGTCCCATTGGAGTTAGTTTAAAAAAAAATTCAAATGAAGCACATTTGACAGCGGACCTATCTGCACCACATTCAGATGCTTTACATCCCAGTATCAATTCACTAATCAACAAAAAAAATGCTTGTTATCATAGGTTACCACTGATGATGCCATAAAAACTATCCAAAAACTCAGATCCGGAACTACAACGGCAAAACAGACATATCTGATGCCTTCAAGTTAATACCCATTTCCCCATCTCAGTGGCACTTATTCTGTCTAAATTGGAAAGGCCTATATTATTTCTATACCAAACTTGCTTTCAGCTGTAGATCTAGTCTCAGAATCTTCTATTGCCTCTCCCAAGCTATTTGCTGGATAGCTACCCACAATTACAGCATCAATATATCTTACACCTCTTGGATGACTTTATCACCTTTGAGGAGCCTGACAAATGCAGAGAAAGAAACATGGCCCAACAAATCATATTCTCTTATGATAATCAAACCATAGGTTCTGTCTTTTGATTGGTTACTATAAATAGTTTTCTATTGTTTTAGCATCTTTGGATCTGTGAACATTTATCCCCTTCCTCCCCTCCTCTCACCGTTACTTCTTTTTATCAATATCTCTTTAGGCATACCTAGTATGAAAGATGCAGGTATGCAATAAGGCAATATTTCATATCTAACTCTCATTTAGGCAATTTTACATATTGTACCTCAATATGCCAAAAAATTTACCCCAAATTTGCAGGAAACGGACTCCATACTCTTCCAGCGGTCAGGTCATTTACTTTGCTAATGCTAATGTGAACACAAGACCCCTGAGCATATCAGTTTGACACCTCAAACTTCTCATACTCAACAAGTCACGGAGTAGGCCAGCTGGCTCTCCATCGACAAGACCAGACCTCTTTCTCAGGTCAACTTCTGATTATCGCAGTATTGTTTGACACCTCAAACACAACAAACCAAGTTGTTGAGCTCTCCATCAGAACATACAGTTCTCAGGTCAACTTCTGATTAGCGCAGTATTGTCTGACACCTCAAACACAACAAACCAAGTTGTTGAGCTCTCCATCAGAACATACAGCATACTACCACTTGGCAGAATAGCACACCTCACTGTTTTGCTTCATTTGGACCTCTAGTGTGCCACATGATTCTGATGCCTCTGTATATCTTGCATAGCTGGGTTTGCCCTTTCACCAATCGTCAAGTTGTCAATAAAAATGGAACTTGTAAATTTACTTTTCTTGTCATTGGTCATTTGCAAAATTATTTTGTTAAAAAACATTGACTGTACACACAAGTACTCTAAAGTTGACATAAAAAAGATGCTTGAGTTTCTGATTGACAATATCTTTGTGGATTTTGGAGACCAGGTCTTCCAACAATCTGTTGGAATTCCCATGGTCATCCTGTTATTAGCAGACTTATTTTTGTATTCATATAAAGCAATATTCAAAATCTTACACATGAGAAAAAGAAAACACTTGCTGTGGCCTTCAACTTAGATATGACGACATATTATCAATTAACAATAGTTATTTCCATTCGTATGTTGACACAATATATTCTAGCGATCTTGAAATTAAAGATACCACAGAATCTGACACATCTGTTTCATACTTGGATATTTTTAAAGAGATTGATTGATTTATGCATAAGTTGAACCCCTGATGAGGTGGGCCTTATTACAAATATGAAAGTCGACATGTGCTATTAATACCGCCAAAACACTCTTAATTAGTTGCGACATATAAGCAATTGACCAAATGCTTCATTAAGAGTGTTTTGGGTTCTAATAAGTTTAAGAAATGTTGGGTTGGTAGGATGCCTTCATATTTTTTGCACTTGAAAAAATAAAATATTGGATGCAAAAATAGGGTTGGTAATTTTTTTTTTCTGTAAAGTTTTATGAAGATCTACAAGAACACTCGAGGACAAAACTACATTAAAACTACAATAATCAAATTACTCATGTGCAGATCAAGCAAATTTTATTACTGAACAGGACAACTGTACCTATAATATAAAAGCATTTAGAGTTGAGCAGTATCTATAAAATACATTCCACATATGTGTTATATTTTCAGTATTGTATATTTGAACACTGCTGAAAATAAGCAACCTGTATTAATAGACCACCTATCATATGTGACCTTTTTTCCTTTCTCCGTTGGAAGGTCTCTTAATACAGGTTTGACTGTACTTATATTTTTCACTTATATCATCATATTGCACATGCATTCTAGTTTAAAATCCTGAAGTGACAATAGAATAGACAATTGTATTAAAAAGTTTCAGAATTTTTATTAGTAAAATTTCTTTTGAAAAAAGAAAATATTATTACACCTTAAAAGACTTTCTAAAATACATAATCACAAGAAATTATAGTTTTTAATTTATGCTTCAAAATGGTAAAACGGGTATAAATCATTAAATTTAGACCTTGATTGAGTATCTTCTCTTGTATATCCCATATCAAAAAATAATACATAAAAGTATATTTTTAATATATTTTTAATACAATCATTTTTGTATTGTTTAAAATTAATACAGAAAAAATATATTATTTTTGTATCACCAACAAATAGGTAGATTATTTTTGTATTAAAATCTGACTTTGATTTTTTACAGGGTATTATTTTTGTATTTTTTGGGACTTAGATTATTTTCAGTATATCATTTTTGTATTTTTGTGGACTTAGTTTTTTTTCAAGTGTATTTTTTCTGTATTAAAATTGAACTTAGTAATTTTACAGAAAATTACATACAGTTAGTCTGTATTATTTTTGTATTAAATTTGGACTTAATAATTTTTCAAAAAATACTATACAGTCAGTATTTTTTTTATATTTATTTTGGACTTAGTGTTTTCTTTTACTGAAATTTGTATTTCTTTGAACTTAGGAAAATTTACAGAATGTCCTTGCAATAAGTCTGTTGGAATTAATATTTTTTCTCAGATTTTATTAATTAAGACCACTGCTATAAAGGTTGCTTTTATACTATTTACATTTAATTGCTTTTTAGAACAGAAAACTTCAGTAGTTTAAATTTGTTAACTAAACAATTTCATTTTTAAAACATGTTTTAACTAGGTGTGAAATTGTCATTTGGAAAGAGATAGATACATCTAAGGGGACACCTGTGCTGTACATGATACTTGTAAACACGCGGTAAATTTTGGAGTTTCAGAGTTTCAGACTTTCTTTTGTGTTGAAAATTTTACAGCGTGTTTACAACCAAGTGTTTACAACTATCGCCAACAGCACAGGTGGCCACCTGCAGGCTAAAAATAGACGAGTACATGTTATACTACTCAAAGAAATAACATGATTTACCCGTGAAAACACAGGTAACGGGACGTTTCGCCCCTATTGACGGTTCGCGCCGAGACCATTCGCCCCTAAAGACCTTTCGCGCCGAGACGTTTCGCGCCGAATTTAATCTACAGTGTCTATATAGATAATGATATATTACGATGTTTTAAGATAAATATTTATACATAAGGTTAATATTGATTTTATTAAAAAAATGTTCTAAAGTTACTAAAAAAGTTTTCGTGTTTAAATTGTTGAAATAGGCTTATACCATAATTAAATGTATAATTATAAATGTGCAGATATAATTATGTTTATTCAGCAATCATAATTCTCTGATTCAGTTTTGTAATTAAGGTGTTATATAATAACTATAATTTGGAGACTCTCCATGTTAAGATAAAGAGGAGAATTAAAATTATGAGACGGGTGTCAAGTTCATTTTACCGTTGCTCTATAGGATGCACACTGACTCCAATTTTCTTTGTGATTTTGAGTAATGCTATATAAGTACTTATCAAAAATATACTTCTCAACAGGAGTTTATAAAAAA